GACCGAATTGAAGAACGCGTAGTTCATTTCTGTCCCCGGCAACACGTTCCAGGCGCTGATGTTCTGGTCGAAGGCGGCGGCTTCGTAGAACATCCCGCTCATGTCCGTCACGGACGACGTGTCCCAAGCGCCGATGTCTTGGTCGAAGGCGGAAGCTTCTCCGAACATGGAGCCCATGTCCGTCACGGACGACGTGTCCCAGGCGCCGATGTCCTGGTTGAAGGAGACGGCGCTAAAGAACATGCCGCTCATGTCCGTCACGGACGCCGTGTCCCAGGAGCTGATGTGCCCGTACTTGGCTTCCGCGCTCGTCGCGTCGTCGATCCACCCGTTGACCGCGATCTGGAGCTCGATCTCGTCCGTCGGAGAGTACGTCGCGTCGATGCCGTCGCACGCGAAGCCGGTCGGGCACTCGAGGCAGACGTACTTTTCGCAGACCAACCACTCGTTCGCGGCGCACGTGGAAGCCGTCGGCGCGGCCGTGGGGTCGAGCGTGGGCTCGGCCGTGGGGTCGACCGTCGGCGCGGGCGTCGGCGCGGGCGTCGGCGCGGCCGTGGGGTCGAGCGTGGGCTCGGCCGTGGGGTCGACCGTCGGCGACGCCGTCGGCGCGGCCGTGGGGTCGAGCGTGGGCTCGGCCGTGGGGTCGACCGTCGGCGCGGGCGTCGGCGCGGGCGTCGGGCAGCCCTCCCCGGAGGCCTTCGCGGCCTCGAGCGCGGCGTTCTTGGCCTCGAGATCGGCGATCACCTCCGCCCAGGTCGGGCAGGCGTCGCACGCCACGGGGCAGGCGTCGCTGGCCAAGACCTTGGACTTGGACTCCTTGTCGCAGCGCTTCGCGGGCGACTTGCCGACCCACGCGCAGGTCTTCGACTTCTTCCAGCCCTGGTGCCACGTCGTCGAGTCCGCGCACGACGGCCCCTCGACGCAGGTCGCCGGGCAGGTGTCGCAGGCCACGGGGCAGGCGTCGCTGGCCAGGACGCCGCCCTCGGACTTGACCCAGGCCTTGCAGCGGCTCGCCGCCTTCTTGCCGACCCAGGCGCAGTTCTTCTTGTCGTCGCCTTTCTTGTGCCACGTCTCCGAGTCCGCGCACGCTTCCGAGAGATGGCGGGCCGAGTCCTCGACGCCCGGTAGACCATCGACGTCCGCGTCCTCGGCGTCGTCGGACGGGACCGCCTCGGGGCTCGTGTCGGACGCCTCGAGGCCCTTGAGCGCCAGCGCGATCCCGGCGAGATCGGCTTCCGAGGCCGTCGGATGGAAGTCCTTGAAGATCGCGACCACGGCCTCGACCGGGTAGGCCTTCTTGTTCAGCTTGACGCCCCCCGCCGCCTCGGGGCTCGTGTCGGACGCCTCGAGGCCCTTGAGCGCCAGCGCGATCCCGGCGAGATCGGCTTCCGAGGCCGTCGGATGGAAGTCCTTGAAGATCGCGACCACGGCCTCGACCGGGTAGGCCTTCTTGTTCAGCTTGACGCCCCCCGCCGCCTCGGGGCTCGTGTCGGACGCCTCGAGGCCCTTGAGCGCCAGCGCGATCCCGGCGAGATCGGCTTCCGAGGCCGTCGGATG